CACCTGATTCAGCCCCCTGCACTTGATTCAGCCCCCCGCACCTGATTCAGCCCCCCACACCTGATTCATTCCCCACACCTGATTCATCCCCCCGCACCTGATTCAGCCCCCGGTGCCTCCTGGGGAAACAGCTTTTGGACTTAAGATCTATTTAACTTTAAACTGCAGTGGAACATGAAATCTTTGCCTCTTGACTCATAACAGTTTTCACTCCTCTGCTTCCGGATCATTCAGCGCTTTGTCTCATCACCTGAACGACTTGTGAACATGTTTGCTGCAGCATGTCTGATGTCTGTCTGTTCCTGTAGGCATCAGCACCTTCTCCAACAACTCCGGCTCCCTGGAATACAGGTAAATGGCCCAAATAGTTTACTGTGCTGGTGGGAACAACGGGTGACAGCGGCGTGGTCTCATTTAGGAGGGACACCCGGAGGGGAATTTGCTCAGATGTGTTGGATACTTCCACCTAAACTCCGAGAGAGAAGACGCACAGCCGTTTAATAAGAAGTGGGTGTAGTAACGGGGACGTCAACCATCGCTTTGTGGACTAAAGTTCTGCTTTCGAGCCGTTGACGCGAGAAGGTGAAGCTACAGCGACACACTGAGTAGGAAACAGGTTACAATCACCTGACAACAACTAAAGGTCCCTGTGAAAGTTCCAAGACAAAATCCCAGCAACCTGTCAATCAAAGGGCAGCCCCGCCCTAAAGCCCATTCAGCTTAACGGTAAATTAGATTCTAAATGATCAGTTACTAAATAAATAACCTGAATCAAAGACATACTAGAGACTGAGACCATGAACACGTTTACAATACGGAAATAAGTCATTTTGTCTCTTCTATACAACCCGAGGAGTCCCACTGAGTAGACAGTCCAAGACATTTTAGCCTTTCCTTCTCAAGTAGGGTAAAATAATGAAGTGATATTAACTGAAACGCTCACTTCAGGCCACCACAGTAGCGATGTACCACGTTTAGTCTGTGTGAGAAGTGATCGCGCTGCTCTACGTCATCGCTGCACTTTGGTAACAATTCAATGAGTTTCACACGAGAAGTCTCTGTTACGTGTTTTAAAGCGGATTGGCGTTGGTTAGTATTTCAGAGGAGGAGCCGGGTCCTCTACGGAGCGACGCCGAGGCTAAAGGAGGACCTAAGATCAGCCGCACCTTCAGCTACATCCGCAACAAGATGACCAAGAAGAGCAAGGTGGGATTCATTCTTTGTACAGGACCTGCTTCAAAAGGAATGTGTGATCTTCATTGGTTTCCATCTCTTTCTCGCTTGCAGGAGAAGGAGAGGAAAGGCGAGAGGGAGCGGGAGAGCAAAGAGAGAGAAAAGAAGAGTGCAAGTGGTCACGTCTTCATCCCCGCCGGCGCGTCTCCATCCGCGGCCTGTCAGCACTGCAGCAAAGTCCTCAACAGCAAGGAGACGTTCCTCTGCAACAGTAAGGCTCCTCCGTCTCACTCCAGACTCCTCCGTCAGGTGTCTCTCTTGTGAACAGTTAGTGTTAATAATGCAACAGGCCCTCACATGCGTCACCAAACGTATATTCAAAATCCTCTTTGTGTCTTAACACTCACAAGCAACTGTCACTTAACCTTTGGGACCTTCCCGAGCGCCAGACTCCCTTCAGAAGACCCTGGAGTTGAAAGCAGGAGGCTCGAGCAACGCAGGCCGACCCAACGCTGTGTAGAACGTCGTAAGCTCAGAACGTTGTGTCACGCGGGACTCTATGAGGAGCTGGAAGCCAACAGGAAGTTGTCTGAGATGCACACGGCGGTTTCTGCTGACGGGGTTTCTCTGCTAAAAGGTGGAGATGTGTTTGTTCCAGTGGCAAGACGAGGGGACGTTATGCTAACTTTCCCCACCAGTCTTGCACTCTGTTGCATCACTCCAGTGTGTGTCTGTGTGTGTTGTTGTTGCCGTGGTTACCAGAGCAGTGTTGGCAGAGGGGAGAACTGAGCAGTGTGTGAGTCTGAATGTGGCTCTACAGAGCAGGAGGAGGACCAGCGGTCTGTTGGCTTATTGTGGAATCATTGCCCAAGTCACTGCCTTCCCCTTTTTCCTGTTTCTGTTTCCTCTCCACGGGCGTCCACTTTGATCTAAAAGAAGGGCTTTGCTCCCTGGGGGTCCCTGGGGGTCCGTCAGCCGGGCAGATGTGAACTCGCTGAGGTTCTGTGGAGGTGAACTTCCCCGTTGTTTTGGTGGCATCTGGGCCCTGAAAGTCCTTGACAGTCCCTCTGAACCCGTCCACGGACGATCACGTCTGGAATTGGCGTCGACGCGTTCAAGTCTCAGCAGGTTCATGGTTGAAGTGTGCCGCTGGCATCGGGTTCTTTTCCTCGTTTTTCCCCGCGGTGAGGGAAGCTCGGCCTTTAACGGGCTGAATGGACGTAAATGGACTAACCTCTTCCCCCTGACAATCACCAGGCAGGAAGTGTTTGTAACGATGGTGTCGTTTGCAGACTGTGGGGCCCATGTGCATAAGTGCTGCAGAGAGAGTCTGCCCACCTGTACAAAGAGCAAAGCAAAGGTAGGTCTGATGCTCACTCCTCACAGGTAACGCTCAGCACGAAACGCACCTTAGACTCTGAAGTGTTTCACACTTCCTCCAAAGACGTCCTGTGTTTGCTTCCAGCAGCAGTTGCCGGTGGCAGAAGCTGTTCCGGGGTCAGCTGTTAACACCAGGAGTAAATGTAAGAGCTTATGTAACTATGTCATTACTAAAAAAGTCTCCTGCTGGTACAGCAAGTCCTAAATGTTCCCCGTTACATCCACAGCTACATCTTCAGCATCGTCTGCGTCCTCTACGTCTTCCTCGTCGTCACGGGAACGCTGGTCCACAGCAACCAGCCCTGAAGAGCAGCTCCCCTTGAGTTTTCCACGAAGACACCCAGGTCTGTTCAACCCGCACAGCAACCTGGCAAAGAGCATCTCCACCAGCAACATAGCCGGGTGAGACGCCTCACACACACGCACACACGCACACGCACACACACACCCTGTACCTCTGTGTGTGTGTGTTCTTAAGCCTAACCCGTTAACCCATTAAAGCCAAGTCTGAGCCCTCAAGCAGGCCTGAAACAATCCTCTCCAGCTGTGGGCGCAGGTCCACACAAAGATGGATGTACAATTACACAAGCGCACACATTCACGCACACTGACAGACTGGTGTCATCATGATCGTTCCACGGCTGCTGGCGTTGCAGTGGAAGTAGAACAGACGTCCTGTTTGTGTTGTAACTCGTTCTCATTGAATTCTTTGTTCGGTTCCCTGCAGGCTGGACGAAGTGTCACTTAAAGGCCTGAAGTTTCTTTCCCAGTCCACTGACTCTCTGCACAAGGGGGGCAAAGTCAACGCCTCCACGGAGTCCCTGACGGATGAAGGTAGCGCGTTTTTCTTCTTCTGCCACACTGACTGTGGATATAAATGCATGAGGCGTCTGCGTCTACTGTACAATGTAGAGTCCAAACTACTGCCCATGAAGGCCAGACAGCCGGTGCAGGTGTGATCAGGGAGCTGGGGGTGAATACCAAGCCCCCCCCCAGCTTAGCATGACAGCCACGAGGTGCATTAGCGCCGCTGCAGCTCAGCGTATTGATCATAAAGGCCTCTATACATTTATGATCAAATCAAAGCAACTTCTCCTTCATCTGCAGGGGGCAACGGACATGTTTGGGGGTTTTGGGGAACTGTTCATGTCTTGCGTTTTTTTTATACACCGGCTACCTAACAGAACCTTTCTGATGTGGACTCATGCTGTTTGTGCGAAGGTACGGAGATGATGGACAGCCAGCTGATGGGAGAGTTTGAGTGCGACACTAAAGATCTGGAAGCCGACTCTTGGAGCGGCACCATGGAGAAGAAGTTCTTGAAATTGTTGAAGAAAGACGAAATCAAGAAACAAGACGTTATCTATGGTAACGATGCGTTGCGACTCCTTTTGAGAAGGATGCTGTTCATGATCACGGGTTAATGTGCCGAGCGCTCCCTCTCCACAGAGTTGTACCAGACGGAGTTCCACCACGTGAGGACGCTGAAGATCATGTCTGAAGTCTACTACAAAGGTCTTCAGAAAGAGCTGCAGCTCGACCCTCAAACCCTGGACAAGGTGACGGACGTGCCGAGGAGCAGTGCCACTTGTGGACCAGAGTACCGGCAATATCGATGAGGAGAGCGTCGTGAAAACTGCACATATTGATTGTTTCCCTCCTGTAGATCTTCCCCGTTTTGGACGACATGTTGGAGACGCACACACATTTCCTCACTCTGCTCCTGGAGAGAAAGAAAGCTTCATCAACCGAAGGACAGAACAACAACTACCTCATCTTCAGCATCGGGGACGTGCTGCTCAACCAGGTGAGCGAGGCAGGAGAGAGCCCCCCCCTGAGAGGTTTAATCGGATTGACCTTCATAGTCACATAACTCAGAATATTACATGTTATGATCCCATACCAGTGGCACTTTATAACGAATACAATAATAGGGCACTGCATCATATGGTTGATACGCAATAATATTCATTGATTGAATTGATGGATTTCCTTGTGTGCTGTCAATGTATATAAGGTACCACTGAAACGCAGCTGCAGCTGTTAAATACATTGAAAAACAGATTTATAACAATTCCTGTGAAATGCAATTCCCTTCTTTTCATTTCTACTTTTGTAGAATATTAAACATCTGGTGTTTTAACCTCAGTTTTCAGGCAGCAGCGCCGATCGCATGAAGAGAGTTTACGGGAAGTTCTGCAGTCGCCACAGCGAAGCCGTCAATCTCTACAAAGACCTGCACGCCAAAGACAAACGCTTCCAGGCGTTCATCAAGGTCGGCGCTCGTTCTTCTAAACACGCGGGGCACGTTCACCCTGCAGGGGGTCTGACAGTGAACTCACCTCCCTGCATCTTTGCGTCCACGCAGAGAACGATGAGCAGCAGCATTGTGCGGCGACTCAGCATCCCAGAGTGCATTCTGCTGGTCACCCAGAGGATCACCAAGTACCCCGTCCTCATCCAGAGGATGCTGCAGCACACTAAAGGTACCAGAGCAGCCGGCTGGCCCCCGTGAGCCGGGAGGAGCGTGCCCTCGCTTCATGTGCTTCCTCTCGCTCCCACAGACTCCGATGAAGACCACGGCTGCGTCTGTGAAGCTCTGCGCTGCGTGAAGGAGATGATCACGGCTGTGGACAGCAAGGTCAACGAGCAGGAGAAGAAACAGAAGCTGAGGGAGGTGTACAGGTACAGACACAAAGCTCACACTGCGACTGGAAGATGAGTTGAAAGGTCCATGGACAGCTGATGAAGAAAATGTGATTAAATCTACTGCTACTAAATCCACTTGCAACCGCGTTTGTCTCTTTCACTGAACCAACACTATGTACAAAAGAACAACGTCCAAAGTGAAGGAGGAGGGTCAGCTGGAAGCTTTTATCTCAGTGTGGGCGGGGCATAAACCCTCAACCCTGCTTTCTGTGATCTTCCAGTCGCACCGACAGCAAGTCCATCATGAGGATGAAGAGCGGCCAGATGTTCGCTAAGGAGGACCTGATTAGAGGGAGGAAGCTGCTGCACGACGGAGCGCTGCAGCTGAAGAACTCCGCCGGGCGGCTCAAAGGTACGTGGCGCCTCGCAGAGGAAACCCCGCTGGACTCCGTCAGCATTCAGCGCGCCGCATCCTCCTTTGTGTTGCAGACGTCCAGGCCATGCTGCTGTCGGACGTGTTGATATTTCTTCAAGAAAAAGACCAGAAATACGTCTTTGCCTCATTGGTAAGAACCTCCATCTGCTGGCGTGTATATTCTCACAGTCTGAGAGTCTGACGTGGAGCTCTCTGCCCTCAGGACCAGCGCTCCACCGTCATCTCTCTGCAGAGCCTGATAGTCCGAGAAGTGGCCAACGAGGAGCGAGGTCAGGCTCCTTCTTCTTCTTCTCTGCTTTGCACGCAGAGCGAGTCACGCATTTGATAAACAGCGAGACACAGCAGAGGTCTGTGGTGTGAGTCAGTGTGCCGTCTCTCCCGCAGGTCTCTTTCTGATCACGGCTGGAATAGAGAAACCAGAGATGGTGGAGGTGTTGGCCAGCAGCAAGGAGGAGCGCAACACGTGGAGAGCCATCATACAGGACGCCATGCACTGCATGTGAGGATGCACCTGAACACCGGGCTCTCAGTATGACGACGTAAATGGGCGTTTGGGCAAAAGAATCAGACGGAGTACCGCTGTGATGTTGACAACACACGTTAAACTTTGGAGGATAAATAAAACCAACAGCGTCAGCATGGCGACTGAAATTGTGACTTGAATGAAGGAAACTTTCCTCTTCATTTTCTCCCCATTCTGCCTGGTAACCATCGCCGCAATAACACCGCAGCTTGGTGATTGTGTGAGCAGACAAGCACAAACAACACGTGTCAGAACAGCGTAGCAGAAGTCCGATGATTCCAGTTGTCGGCTGGTCACAAGTGGCTCTGATTACACAACCCAGCATCCCAGATCCTAACGGGTCCTCCAGGATAACCTGGGCCCAATAACAATGAGGTACCTTCAGGAACAGGTGGGCAGAAAGCTGTCTTAAGGTTCTCCCAGCAGGCATTAGTGTCTCTCCGGGTTGTTCGGGTCCCAGAATAAAACTGGTCTGATAATATTTGAGCTTCACAGTGTTTGTGTGTCTACAGGGAGAAAGACGAGGACGAGGGAGTCCCCAGTGAGACAGAAGAAGACCGGAGGCAGCAGGAGAGCAGAGCGAAGGAGATCCGAGGTGACCCCCCCCGACTCGTGGCATCAGGTTCGATTGTTTGATGGCCTCGTTTTCACGTCTCTCATACAGTCTTTTGTGTTCCAGAGCTTCTGCGAAGGAAAGACGAGCAAATCATCTCTTTATTGGAAGAGAAGGTCCACATCTTCAGGGACCTGGGCGACTCTAGTCCCGCCCCTGATGATCCCAGCCCACCGGTCAGAGAGCGGATGTTGTTCATGGCCACACCCGACGACGTCACCAAGGGGGAGCCAATCATGATGGACGCCCTGAGGGAAGGTGAGCGAGGTCTTCCAGGGTCACACGCCGCTGCCTGGTGCCCCAGAGGTTGAGTGCTGACACCGTGTGTTTGATCTTCCCCGTGTCCCTCCAGTGGAGACCCTGCATGGCTTGGTCAACAGCGGCTGCAGTGTTCCAGTCGGCCTGACAGGGGGCAGCGTGGGACCGGTCTGCCTGCCCAGGAGAGCGGAGACATTCGGGGGCTTCGACAGTCACCAGATGAACAGCAGCAAGAGTGAGACACACACACACACACACACTCGCATGTGTCTTTAGGTCAGCCGTTACGTAGACGCCGTTGTTGCTGTACTACAGTCAGTCCAGTCAACGCTGATGTGCGTTGATTCAGATTCCTGAAACATGACAGCAGGTTGATCTCACATAAAAAACCTTCTCTTCTTCTCTTCACTGTCCCCAGATGGAGACAAGGAGGAGGGGGATGAATCACTGGACCTCCGTAGGACTGAGTCAGACAGCGTGTTGAAGAAGGTGCAATTCATTATTCTTAGAGCAAATTTGTTCCAAGATCTGTTTTTAAAAATGGATGTCAACGTCACTGAGTTCCCTTTAGAGAGCAGAAATGGCTGAACATGTTTTGAGCCAGCAGCTAATGTTATTATTTTATTTTATCTGAATCACCAATGATTTGTTTCCCCAATATTTTAAATTCATGGCCTTGTTAACATTGTTACATAATCTATTGTAAACTGGTACCGAGACTCTTTGTGTTTTACTGTCCAGTATTTTAAGTGAAAAGGGATATGCTGCATCAATAAGAAACCATAAACCTAGTCATCTTCTCTTCATCTGATTTACCGATGAACCCTCCAAAAGTCTCTGAGCTCAAAAGGTCACAGCGTCAAACACGTGACACGTGATCCCTTTATTATGACCCCAACAGTATTCAACACACTCTTTTTTCAACACGGCTGTGCGGTTTGCTAGAAGGGGCCTGCTGGACTGCACACACTTAACTATTTATACACCACGGGGAAGATTCCACTTGCTTACCAGCGGTACATTAACAATACCACCAGGAGCGAGTTAGCATGCTGAAATTAGCATCCAGCTAAGGCCACCGCTGTGTCTACTCGCAGGCTCACTGCCATGTAATATAATGTATTCCTCCCGGTATCTCACTGCTGCTCACAGACCACACAAACGCTTAGCTGGCATTACATTACAGCATTTGATGTCAACATTAATATGAATTATTTTGGTGTGTGTGTGTGTGTGTGTGCCTCAGGGAGCCACCGCCAGCCTCCAGATGTTGCTGAAGAGAAACCATGAGGTATGCAGGCTGTAACCAGAAGCCGTTTCAGCCTCCGTGACCATTTGCATGTTGCCAAGCAATTCACACAAGCGCACCTCAACACAGCAAATGTGGCAGCGCTAACTGCAACTAGTGTCCACAGCAAGAAAGCACGATCACTATCGCCCTATCAGGAACTGTATTTATGGAATAAGCTAAAACTCAAAATCTAAATAGCTAGCTAGCTGGCACACATGACATGTAGTGCGTGTTGCTAGCTAGCTGGCAAACATGACGCGTGTTGCTAGCTGGCACACATGACGCGTGTTGCTAGCTGGCACACATGACGTGTGGTGCGTGTTGCTAGCCACCATTAGCCCACTGAGAAAGAGATGAAGGCAATTGACGGGAGGAGTCAGATATATCTGTCACTGTTTCTCTTTCTCATGAGGGCTTCTTGCTATGAAATGCTGTCACTTTTTGAATTTATGTTTGTGAATTAGCAGATTTGCAGTATTATTTTCTCCGTCAATATATACAGCCTCCAGAATAATGTGCAATTCAATTTGTTCTCCTCCAAAGGCTGTTTTTCCAAAATAGGATAAGATAAAACAGTCAGTTTATGAATTTGGTTCTACTGTTTGATTTTATGAGCCGTAATTTAAATCAATGAAAATGCTGTAATTTATCACTTTGGGACTCCAGCAGGTGCAGCACAGTGTGACGCATCTTCACGGCCTGCTGATCTCACTTCAGGTACCAGTCACACAGCTTCAGTAAAAAGAATACGACGCACACACACAAGTACACTCGACCTTCATTCTAACTCCTCCTCTCCTGCCCAAAGGCCGTGGTAGTGCAGCAGGACTCGTACATCGAGGACCAGCGGCAGACGCTGAGCGAACGGCTCACCGCCAATTCTTCCAGACACTCGTCGTCCTCCTCGCTTTCGTCGTCTTCCTCGTCCCGCCCTTCCTCCCTCATCGAGCAGGAGAAACACAGGAGCCTGGAGAGACAGCGGCAGGAGGCGGCCACCCTGCAGGTCCACGTTCACGCGCCATCTTTCTTTTTTCACACGATGAGTTGTGGCGCCATTCACTTTGTTTAATTGTCTTCATCTAAAGGAGTGCTTGTTCTTTTGTTGGTTGCAGAAACAGCAAGCTGCACACCAGGAGGAAAAGAGGAGGAGAGAGAAGGCGTGGGAGCTGAAGGACAGGTGTCTGGCAGAGCGGGAGGAGAGGCTAAGAGCAGACGAGGACCAGACCCAGATGAGGCATCGGGAGGTGACGGAGGAGTGGGAGGCGCTCCGGAGGAGGAAAGAGGAGTACCAGGTGGAGCTGGAGAGGCTGAGGGAGGCGCAGAGGAGGCTGGACAGAGACAAGGAGGCTCTGAAGAGAGACACCGAGAGACTTGAGGCCATGAAGAAAGACGAGGTCAGAGTCCCTGAGGGCTTTGTCTCTCCATTCCCAGTCCAGTAATGAGGCAGAGATTGTGTGTCCACACCGATGACCAGATGACGTATCCCAGCAAACACCATATTTATGGGCATCCCACAATACACGTCTGGGCTTTCTCCAAGTCCCGCCCCCTGGAACCAGACTGGTCAATCGTAGTGTAGCTGTCCGTCTTTGCTCCTGGCTCTCACCAAAGTCTGAGACTAACTAAGATTTGCATTCCTACACAACATCCTGATGTTAAGATGTGCTATCTGGTTTTCATGGTGGTCCTCCAGGACAATTGTACAATACAAGCACAAGAAAACTGAAAACCCAACCAGATAAAAACAGGAGGAGGGAAATGGATCCTTCTATCATGGGTTCTAGAAGCGTCAGTGATAGTTCTAAGACAGAAGTAACTCTTCCTATGATAACGTTGTTGCCTGACGAGGTAGCAGCTCCCTTCAGGGTGTCACTGCTGGGTTAAAGGTGAAACATGGGCGCGTCAGTGACCACGTGTCTTGTTTCTCTATTGACAGTCGGAGCAGCTTCATCGGTACCAGCGGACTCCCTCCACCACCTCCGAGGAGTCCATAAGGTTCCACAGCTCCGGGTCTCTGGACCTCGAGCCGAAGGAGGCAGCAGAACAGCCGAAAGTGGTAAAAATCGATTGCAGAAAAGGTGTTTGTTGGTGTTTCGGAGGCGTAGCAACGGGTCCCCGAACAAGTAAAGAGAGCTTCCCTTTTTCTCTGGATGTGCCACAGGTGGAGCTCTCAACCTCCGCCCCGACCAAAGAGCCTTTCCTCCGCATCGGATCCAAGAGGATGAAGAAAAACTTCAACCCCTTTTCCTCGTCATCCTCCTCCAAGACTCAGGGAGCAGAGAAGGAGGCGCAGCTCCCCAACAGGCTGCTTCAGCTGACCAAACCCAAGGAGAAGAAGGACAAGAGGAAGACGAAGGGCAAAGCAGAGCAGACACAGACAGGTGCCTCGACCGAGCTCCACCCGGTGGTTTCTTCAGCTTAATCTCTTTGCTCCTTCTCATTTTTCATACATGACATATGAAATCTGATGGAGGCAGTGATCTATTCTCACTACACCTTCATGCTACTAAGCTATGGTTGCTTTGAAGAAATGTCCTCATTTTCCTTCCTGTTGAGAGTTCTTTACTTTTCAAACGGTTTGCATTTGAATACTTCGATGTACAGGGCAAATATTACGAGGCAAGAAAGTTCCTGTAAAGAGGTTAATGTCATAAAGGCGTCGAGTCACATCAAAGGTATCAGTAAGGGTGATAGTTAGTACAATAATAATAATATACATTTAAAGATTTGTGGAGTTTTCCTAATGTTAGTTTAAAATGATGGCAATATGTCGTTTAATTATTAAGTATTATGAGGCGTGACTTTTTACGAGCTACACTGGCTCCGTTCCAAACTACGAGCTCCTCTAAAGCTCGCTGAAGAATATGCCAGATTCTGACCTGTGGCTTCCTGTCTCTCACAGCTGGAGTGATGTTGGATCCTCAGAACGACGGGGACATCTTCTTCTGCTGAGGACAGGGACAGCTTACATGTGGACCCCTGAGTGACCCCTTAGCTCTCTATTTGGAAATGAAATGCCCACATGGGTCTCCTTTGCAGGCCGCATGGACTTGGACACTGTCCCGACCGAAAGGAAGACGATCCAACTAACCTGCAACAAGCACTGACCTCCTCCATGAGTCCCCAGCTGATGTCCCGTTGAGCTGGGGACTCAATCAGGGGGTCTTTGATCAACAAGTACGCCCCTCCCCTCCCCTCCCTCCTTCCATTAGTAAATCCATCAAGAGGAAGAGGTATTCCTGATGTCTCCTGGCTGTAGGGACCCTCAAACCTCCTCCAGAATCCAGACTGTAGCTTCAACACTTGTAGTGCCTTAAGTCTCTGACATGGTCTCCGTCTGATGGACGCAGTCACTGCAGGACAGGTGCTTCACAATCGCCAAGCAAAGGAAATCTGTCATCAAACAGATCAGATGAATCCATGAACGCCTTTTTGGTGTGACAATCACAGCAGTGCAACTTAAAATACACACATATATATATATATATATATATATATATATATATATATGTGTGTGTGTGTGTATTTGTATGTATATAATGAGTGAGTGATGCCTCATTTTAACGGTTTGCCATTTCCCCTTAATGATCTCATCACACGTTGGTTACAGTCATTTGCGTGGGAACATCACTAACAAATGAGCTGCATTTAAATCCAAACCAATCTGCCTTTCATAGCTGCAGATTTTATTCTTAATATATCGTCAATGTTTTGTGATGACACAGATCCCCAGGAGCTCGTTCTTTTACCCTTTTGTAACATGTAGCACACCGGTTTTGAGTTGAGTATTTGATGTTTATCTACATCTCACCCTTTTGCACGTCCATTAAAACTCTCTGAAACCATTCGGCAATGACAGAATAGTAAAAGTAATATAGAATAAACCGGCTCGTCCTAGATTCATACTGTGATGACGTGGTCATATCACGTTTCTGCCTCTACGGTCCAAATGAACGACCTTTGGCACGTTGAGAAATGGAACAAAACCAAATGTGGTTGTTAATGTTTTACACATTTAAAACGTCACTTTAACTGAGCTCTGTAGTTCGTTCTTGACTTTTATTAATATCTCCAGAGTTCTCCAGGAGCATTTGACTTCGTCAGCAGATTGACTCAAACATCCACGTTGATGTAAATCAATTTGGATAATTGTATTACTATATTAATAATATTGCATTAATTTGCCCCTCTGTAATAATCGTTGATTTTAAAAGGAAAATTATAATTTAGTTAAGCCCTACTGAAGTCTTCAAAGAGAGACAATCATTGGTTTTACATTGTATTTGGTCGATCAGTACACATAGAGATACTGTGGATTGTCAAAGGAAGGCTCATGGACGGGCCTTTTAAACGGGGATAACTATTTATAAATAGTTTCTCTCAAAGGAACTTTACAGATACTTAAAATCGACCCATAATCCCTTTGAGCGTTGCATAAAATCCCCGTTATTTTGATCTGAAAAGGACGAATAGAAGCCAAAGCTCAGTATCCGTTAATACCCGACCCCTTCAACAAAATCCTCCCCCTATGAACTGAACATTGCGTGATTTCCGATGCTGGTTATCCTCCTCAGCCCTGCTGCTCCCGTTCATCCACTGTGCGATTAAAAAAACCTGCATTGATTTTCTTCTCCTGTTCTCTGCTGAGAAGAGCTTCAAGACGCCGGGGCTGGAGAACAATATTCCAGCCCTCGGTGGCACATTGTCCTCTGACACGGAGAGTGTGAGAACACCAGAGGCGGTCGGTCTTCCTTCCGGTCTTCAGGTTCAAGGGCAAAGAAAACCTTCTTTGGAGACTCGAGAAGCAAATACTGATTTCTATCCGTGGAAATTCTCATGAATACCAATCGATTACAAAATGTAATTTCTTCAGTACCACACAGCATTAAAACCAGTGACCAGTTAAAGTTCTGCTCCCTAAACAAGAAACTATATGCACTCTTTAGTTAATTAAATAAAGGGAGGGAGGAAAGGTTATTTTCATGTCTGCATTAACTTGTCATTCTGCGTGCAGAGGTTTAATTCTACACTGTACGCTTCAGGCTCTAACCGTTACAAAGAGGCCGCGCGCTACTTTAGCCCTCTAGCTAACGTCAACGTGTCTTCTGCTGGCGAAAACAGCTTTTTAACTTTAATGCTAACGTCATTTTGAAGAGAGAGTTAGCTAACCGACTAACGACACGCTAAGAACTATGTGAGCACAAACATGGCTCAGTTTACATGTTGAATCATGTAGCTATTCTATAACAGAACAGTTTAGCGTGTAAGCTATTTTTAGTGTCACCAGCCTCTTCACACACTGATGGTTTTCTTTTTCTTGCTTTTCACTGACAGAAAATATTTTTAAAAATTCCTTTATATGTTAATAAAATAATCACCTAATTTGGATTCCAGTCGGAATGGAGTAGATGAACTGAAATAAACCAAAAAAACACATTTGAAGGGAAGTGTCTCAGATGGCAATCCTTGTGAATGTATTACAGTGTTTAACATGTTGAATCTGAATGTATTTCCCACTCATGGTTTTTGCTGTAATGCGGAGCTATGAATTCAGCTACCTAATTTTTCTGAAATTAGCAAGCACATCGCACATAGTGGCAGTCTCGCTTCTGCTGTGGAGAGAAGGATCAATTCATTTAAATATCGACATTAGATTTACCAGCTGTGGTGCAGCGGCTTTCACTCGTCCTGTAATTTTGAATGAGTGGAAGTGACTCCAGAGGATCCACAAAACGTTCGATACACAATGTGCCGCTTTGGATGTCTCGATCGTAATAAGCTAAAGTGACAGAAGCTCGGAGGTTTGTGGTGGTTTGGGCCCCCCTCTCTCCTCCCTAACGTTGTTCCATTCAGCGTGCGCTAGAATTTTAATAAAACCATTCATAAGGACTTTTACACACTTGCATTAAACCGTGGGCTTTTTGAAATGTATTTGTACTAAAAACAAAAGGTACAATGTTTGTTTCTCATTTTATGTACAAAGAAAGGGCAAAGCAACACATTTTGTAAATATATTTTATGTACAAATTTCAAACTATGATAACTGTGGATTTTGTTTAGTTGGATGATTTTTTTTGTTAAATAAATAAAGCTTTATTTATCTTTCCTCTTCCTGTTTTTCAAATGTACAGTCATTTCTCTCAAATAAATGAATATGTTGTTTGTCACGCAATGATGATACTTCCCATCCAGAGAGGATGTTTTCTGTTTTTTCTGCTATTGGGTTCTTGATCTTGCAAGTTTTTTAATTTTTTTTTTTAATATGCCTCCATGGCACCCTTTTTAACTTGGAACCGCCATACCCCTCCCCCCACGTGTCCGTTATATATATATATATATGGTTCCGTCTCCTTTTAAAAAGTCAGTTAGACCCCTAAACTCCATCTTCAAAATGTTCAAGCTCGAGTACATTTCCAAGCTGTAATCTTAAATCATAGCAGCATCTACTGGCAAAAGGAAATCAACTAGGATATTTTGATATAGTTAGTTGACTGGGGGCTATTGCACAAAAGTAGAATAAAGAAATCCAGGAGAAGTGAAAGTGCAGCTTGACTCAGTGTCTTAATCGGTTGCACGTTTGCCGAGCCGGGATGAGAAGGGGGAGCTCTTGACAGTGCGCGTCCACGGCTTTTTTCTTAAGTAGTCCATCAGATTTAAGAAATGGAGAAGACACACACGGCATATTCTTCTCCTCCTGAGCAGCAACTAATTATGGTAACTAATTATGGTGAAGCATTTAATATACAAGAAAGGAAAAACGGCAGCTGTAACAGAGAAAAGGCCTGGCAGACAATCACGGACCGACTGAATGCGGAAGGATTTAAAAACATCTACTTACTAGGAAAGTTGTAGACTGTTTTCAATATGATTGTTTTATCTGTTGGTTTTATAATTATGTCTTTATGTGCTAAATGTGCTGGTTTTACTGTAAAGTGTGAGTAACCTACCATGGAAAACACTATACAATGTATTATTTAAAAAGTAAGCAGGGGGAATTAATGTTCCTCAGGAAATTTACCCTAAAGACTTATTTCAAACAACTATATGCACAAATATCTATAAACTGTGTCTAATTCTAAATATATTTCTAAAATTACTGTTCTTACAGAACAAACATGACTGGACAAAAATATCCTGGCAACAAGTCGATCAAATATAAAATCATTTTGCAGGCTGGAAAGTGCCTCAGCCGTTTTAACAGGTTTTGTGCCATACAGGACCTGCTGTCAACTCTCAGAAGTCAGGAGTAAAAGAAATGCATGAATCCAGCTGTAAACCTGAGATTAAAACAGAGTAGACCTGAGGAAGATTAATGCATTAATTTTATGCACTTTATTATTCTGCCATTCTGAATGAAAACGTCATCTCAATTCATTTTACCATTTAGTGCATTGATTTTAAGTACTGTCATGCTGTCGCTCGTTTGAGAACTTTTCATGTCACACTAAAACACAGTAAATGAATGTTCGCCGACCTAAAGCGAGACACCTAATGCGTCCATCATCCTTGAAATCCAAGCACTACAGACTTCATAAAAGTGAGTTTATTTTCACTGGTCAAAACACACACACACATCTTAATGTTTTTTCCTCTTAAGAAGTTCCTTCAATTTTTCCACATTGTTTAAAAGTCCTTCGTTCACCCAAAAACACTTGAAATTCTAAAAACAGGCGCAGAGTATTTCTGAGCATCTCTTTACTTCTGCTGAAATCCAAGAAGTGAGGCCCCGCCCTCTCTCTGCAGTCTCCTCACGCTTGGCAAGGGGACAGCGCCGGGGGACACCGTGTCACAGAGACAATGCATCAGTGTCCTGCAGAATTCTCGTGGGTCCTTTCTGTGCCATAGTACCAGCCGTGTAGTGAAAGCTGGTGTGATCTCCCGCATGTACCAAACATCCCATACCTCTGGGACAGCGTAGGACACGTCACTGCTATCCAATGCATTGATCAATATCAAAAGTGCATAGGTGTTACAGAAAAATACCACATTTCACATCATTCAGTTAGGGCTCAGCTCCTGGTTCACAACGGCTCTTTGGCAGTGAAGCTTTCTGCAGGTAACGCTGTGCACGAGGCGACAGCTACTCGTACACTTAAAGATGCTCCTGGTAACACAAGCAGGACACCTGCAACTTAAGACGTTCAGATCTGTCATTTGTGCATTTCAATTTCTACAGAAAAAAAATCCACAACCAGCGTTTCCTGTGCATTTTACTGTAATATTTCTGGAGGTAAAGACAAAGAATTGTTTGGAAAGCACGGAAGAATTTGTGTTTAAGTTGTTTCTTCTGTTCTTGACCAGGTTCCACCAGCGGACATCTACTGCGTCTCCGACTTGAAGATATTTGGTCTTTTGTTGGATGCAGCCTCGTCCCACAGAAATGATACGACGGGTTGAAACACTTTAACACTTTGCCTTCGAGAAGAACTCCCAGTCACCAAACAATAGGTAGCGTATAGAGACAGAGCGCATTCAAGTCCCGCCCACACCCACAATGCATCGCTCTGATCGGATTTGTGTGAAGGTGTCACACACATTTATATTGGAATTAACAAGGTAAGAGGCAGAGAGAGAGATTCTTTATTCGGTAGAATTGGACTAACTTTGTCTTTTGTAGACTGGATTAGTTGCCTCACATTTTATATAAATGATTTATATAGTCTATAAATCCAACTTAACTTCTGTCAGGACTGATTTAAAAATAAAATAGATCATTTTGCTCTCTGGTAGAAAGCGATGCCAAAAGAATCCTCAGTCATCACGATTTAAAGGCAATGCTGAAAATGAAGAAAATAGCTTCGCTTTGGATAGAAGCTAAATGACCTGTAATACTCTGCTTCATGAAACCATAAACTCCTGTTTAATAGTGTAGATCAAGTCCTTGTCTCGTCGACTTCCATAGAATCACAGGAGTCGACTCCTGCTGGTCAGACTTCCCTCATCAGAACCTAGTTAGCATGTTAGCCATATTAGCTAACCGCTCCAGTGGCCGTGGTTCAGTGACCTCATGTCTTTGTGGGCTCAGGCTGGAGACCAGAAGATCTGATGCCAACAGATCCTCTCGTGGTTACAGATGAATAAATAATAAAGTAATAAAGCGCCAGCATCAATTCTTCAGTCCAATATCTGAAGTTCTATTTAACTGGTTTGTGGCAGAGCAGAAAACCAGAGGTCTCACTGCAGTCACATGTATTGATTTGTTGTGTGCGGCTGTGGAGTTTAAAATAGCTGCCCGAGCGTCACTAGTAGCTGATTCCTCCCGTTTGAGGGGACTCACATTAAACATTGTGCTGTACAGAACTCTGTGAATGTGGAACAACACAGCAGAGCTCAGACGTTTGCTCAGTGAGTTCGTACTAATGGAAACACTTAGTGGCGTCAACATGATCACTTTACTCATCGTACCAACTGTACATTGTGTTCTCAAATGCACGTACAAAGCCTCTAATAGAAGCCCACACATAACAGTCAGGGAATGTTTCATTTACAGCTCGCAAGGGGGGAAAAAAATCTCTTTTGGTAGTTTTAAAAACGCATGAAAAGAGAAAAAAAAAGTAGTGAATTTAGAACTAAAACATTAAAGAAACACACAAACCTCTTGCCATAAAAAAAGAAGCACTCAGCGACGTGCGTCCATCCAGAGCCTGTTTGAGGAGCCTCACACGGAGAGTGTGTGTGTGTGTGTGTGTGTGTGTGTGTGTGTGTGTTGCTGTTACACCGCTCAGGGCTGATCCACAGTCCGTGAGGTGCAGCTTTTGTTTTTTGCCCCCTGGTCCTGTGTGGAGCAGCAGAAGATCCTCCCCCAGCGGACAATCGATGCCTGAAAGAGACGCGAGGAAAGATTAGGGCCGCACAGCACACGGTAGCCACTTTTAGCGCCGTCACGTGAATTTGATCGGATTTCAAATAAATTCATAAATCCACCAGCTTTCGTTTTCCCCTTGATCATCTTTCAAAGATTTGGGCTGAAAGACTAAAAGAAAAGAAAAAAGCAGCTAAAAGGTGTTTAACCTACTTCATATTTACTTGGTATTAGTTTCTACATTTAAATGAACTTTAATTCATGAACTCAATAAGGAGAACAGTTTGTCTGATTTCCTCCAACAAACGTAACAGGGGAGGAAATCAGGATCAGGATCAGGAAACATTTATTGGCCAAAATATGTCAAACATACAAGGAATTTGTCTTGGCGGTTAGTGCGCGACAGTAGACAGACAAGACAACAGTGCACAGGTAATAAAATAAAGTGGAATGAAATGCTAATGCAATGGGTTAGTAGAATAAGGCTAAGGCTATGGGTTAGTATAAAACAAGGGAATAAAGTTAAACAAATTTTAAATATTAAAAAGAAAAGTATTAAGCATAAAGTGCACTAACAAACAAGTAACAGACAAGAGACAAAGTGATGAATTGCAGTTAAAGTGGCATGTGCAGTGTGAGGGGGAGTGACCGGTGGGATGTTATAGTCAGTCAGTGGGGGACCGGCTCTGTTCATGAGCCCGACTGCCGACGGGAAGAAACTGTTGGTGTGGCAGGAGGCTGAGGTCCATCAGGACTAAGACCTCCCGCCACACCAACAGCTTCTTCCCGTGAAGGACGGACTGAAGTGGTTTAGCTTTCAGACATCCAGGCGACCTGAAATCAGACTAAGTATCTTTTCTTTAAACTAAGCTAGTCTGCTAAACTTGATGATTCTGCTGTTTTAAGTTAAGTTTATCTATCTCTGCTCGGTTTGACACAATCTAACTTCGTTTTTCCTTTTCTTCTGACTTGAATCTTTGAACTCTGTTTGTCAAAACACCACATGGTGATTGTAGTTTTGCATTTTGAGGAGTTTCTGCTGAGGCCAAACAACCTTTTGTCTCCTGGACGCCGGGGGACTGGTCAGCGCAGCAGAGTGGAGGTTAAATTAGTATCAGACTTCCACTGACGAGGGAGTAGTTAACTAGGTACCGGTGGCTCATCCAGTTCTAACAATGGTGCTCAGGTACCAGGCTGTGAATGGATGGGGTCCAGCTTCCATCCAGGACCTGGTCCAACCCGACATCCCGACCCGCACTCTCCGCTCTGCATGTGATAAACTGCTTGTTCCTCCTCACTGAGAGCAAAA